TAAGTTTATCAATGGTAAAATCATTTTAATCACCCACCCATAGATTTCCATCAATAAGTTGTGTAGGGGGCATGGTGAGCAAGAACTAAGAGGTATGATGGGAAGAAGGCGGTGATATCAAAACAGCGTGACAATGATACTGTAGCTGGTTTTACAATGCCGTAAAGAGACGATGATTCGATGAGATTTTCGACATATTGCTAATTGGTTCACTTTTCTTTGTGATTTTCGTACAAGAACATAATTTGGTTATCAAAGTCGTACCGTGATTGGTTAAAAAGAAAGTCTACAGGCATTGAAATGAAAGCAAAAATGACTTTGTCGTTTTTTGAAGTCCTTTTGCATTTTTTTCAGAAGATGCGGGCATTTGTTGTTAGCATAAATGCTAAAAGCTTTAGTGGCTAGGCAAGAGAAATAGGAAGACAGTTGTGGTTAGACATAAATCAGAAATTGAACCTACACTCATAGAAGCTCAAATCTTGCAAAGATAATGAACGTTCGAGGGAAAAAGAGCACTAGGGGATTTCTAGTGCTGATAGTGACTTCAGATGTAAAATAAATGTTTCATTTTGATTAAATCGATTGGGAACGTAAATCATTGGTCCTGTTATCATAGTTGAAGAATAAGGTGGTAAAAAACTTTAAGAGGCAGTGACTCTTTTTCTCTAGAATAGGCTTTTTATTCTCCTGGGCCTTCTCTTTTTTCCTTCACAATATCCGCGCTGACAACTCTACGTAGTTTAGCCATGCGCGCATACGGCGCAGAAGGCGCAAGCTCCACAGTTTGCCGATGAATGACATCTCTGGCTCCTTTGCATTTAACCGAGAAAATCTTTCGCCTTTTACTAAAGATTTCCGTGCAAAGGTGCAATTTATGAGTATGTAGCAATTTTTGGAATCCCCTCGAAAGAGTGGGATACAAAGCTCAGCCACTACCTTAGTAAGGCATTGTAGTTATTTTATGTAAAAGGCGACAATTAACGATTTAGTACCGAACAACAAATAAAGGTATTATCTTCTAATGACTTCAATACAAAACAAAATTTAGTTTATTTCTATGGCTTGGTATTTGACACCCCCTGTACAAAT